ATGCTCATTCCACATATAAAGAAACAAAAGTGCAGAGCAGTTAAGCAATTTGCCCAAGGTTACACAGATCATGAATAGTATTTCTACAATTAGAATCTTAAAGGTATGATTCTTCAGAATGACTCTAACAAAACATGCAAGCCTTTATGGAGAAGTTACCAAACTTTACTGAAAGACATTATGGAACACCCAAATGAATGGAGATGTACAATGTTCAAAGACTGGATGACTCTACTGTAAAGATGTCAATTATCTTCTAAGTGATTTATAAAGCCAATGTAATCCAATCAAAACCCCATTAGCTTTTTTTTTTTTTAAGATTTGACAAGCTGATCCTAAAGTTCATGTGTAAATACTCGAGAATTGCCAAGATACTCTTGAAGAAGCAGATACTGAAATTCGTGGTCATGAGAAAAAGAAGACAAATGAACAGACCAATGAAACAATGCCTAGAAACTATTAAAGCAAATCTTAAGATCAAGTTTTAATAATATGTGTTAAAAAATCTGAAACCACTTTTGTGTATTATAAAAACTGAGCAAATAAGTAAATATGTTGAGGCTAATGGAAACCAGATTTCTCATTCTTGAAGAAGGAAGTTACCAATATGAAAAAGATACTGGACTGGAATTAGGGGTATCAGTTAAAACTTGTGGCTTTTAAACAAATACACAGAGGAAAATATATTTATGAAATATACATACATATATATCCATCCTAGTCATGTCCATTTAAAGTGACTACAAGCAATGTTCTCCTGTTAGCAATAAGCACATCTAATGCCTAGATACTGATTTCCAAATACCATTTCCCACTAAAAGGAACCAGGGCTTGTTCTGCAGTGCTAAAGCAGGGAAAGCAAAGAAAATCTGAAATATCTTCTGCCAGAAAGTAAAGCAGTGCTCAAATGATGATACAGACATTTCAAAAGGCCACAGAAATCAGTGCGTAAGAGCTCTCACTGGCCGAATCTGGGACAGTTTGAGCATAAGATGAAAAATATTAGTACAAAATTATAACCCACAGAATAAAATAAGAATCCATATGGACATAAAAAATAGATAAATAAAACAAGCACTAAGCCATCGAGATCTAATGTACACAGTGTAGTGAACTGACAGCAATATTATAATTATGTAATGTAATAAATGCCTACCTCAGCAATCATATAATATATAAATTATCAAAGTAACATATTGTATACCCTAAATTTACAGTTATATGTCAAATTTATCCAAAATAATAAATGAAGTGGTGGTAAGAGAAAGTCCTTTATAATAAAATCCCAGCTAATAAATGTAGAAGGAATGATGGAATTGACAAATCTCCAATATGGCAACCATCACAGTAACAACTAATTTCAGCAATGGATGCTAAAACTAAAAGGTGAAAATTAATAAGCGACAGGATATTTACATACTCCCAACCTATTTCCCTAAAAATTAATTACAAAGAGAAAAATATAACTTTACTGGAAGAAACTTGGCAGAAACCACTTTAATAAGTGATTGTAGGGGGTTCAGAATGAATCACCTAAAGATGTGTCTCTCTGGTATCCAGATATATTTGAGCTAAAGGCAACTGAGACCCTGCAGAAATTAAGAGAAATTTCTGTCCCCATTTAACTATCTAGAAGAATTTAAATTAGAGGTTTTGCCTATAATAAGAGTTATCACCAGCAATAACTTTTATGACCTATCTATTTGGCAGGGAAAACTACTAATCACTGAACATCTGCTCTTCTTATCATCCTGCAATCATTTTCCTCCCCTCTGAAGCCCCAAGGCACCTCACCTTGTCCTTAGCTCAGAATGTCATATATACTTCATTTTCCCTTTGTCTTTGAACCTCTCATATATTTAGGGGGATGAGGTTCTCTGACTCTCCCAAATATGTGGGGTTCCCACGTGTACGTATATAATTAAATTCGGTTATTTTCTCTTGTTAATCTTTCTCGTGCAGATTTAATCACTAGACCAGCTGCAAGTTTCTTCTTCCCCCATGTGATTAAAGTTAATATCACCAGGAATGGGATAAACTGGCATCATGTGTCTCCGGATGTAATAAACTATGAAAAGACACAATATTATTTCAGCCAAAAAAACAGACACTCATATTGAGACATTCTATACTACACCTGAACTCTTAAAGAAATGCAAAGGTCATGAAAGACAAAGAATGAAGAAATGTTCCAAATGAAAGGACTCTAAAGAGAAATGACAAATAAATTAGCCCCATACTGGTTTGGATCTTTGCCAGAAAAAATTCTCTTATAAAGAGCATTATTTTCGCAACTGGTGAAATTTAAAAAGATCTATGGATTAGATAACAGTATTATATGAATGTTAATTTGCTGATTTTGATAACTGAACTGTGTTTAGGTAAGAATGACCCTGTTCTTAGAAAATATACAATGAATATTTAGAAGTAATGGGCATCATGTCTGCAATTTACTCTCTAGTGATTCAGGGGGGAAAAAACTACACACACACACACACACACACACACACACACACACACACACACACAAGCAGGGAGATAATAACATAAATGTGGCCTGATGTTAATAACTGGGGAATATAAATGAAAGATATAGAAAAGAAAAAAAATTCTTTCTACTATTCTTGCAACTTAAATTATTTCAAAGCAAAGTTACTAAAGTACTATAAACTTTAGATAGAATATAAGTCTATATCTTTATGATGCTGGGGTAACAAAAGATTTCTTAAACAAGACACAAAATCACAAATATAAAGAAAATGACAAATAAATTTGACTACATAAAAATACCATGAAGCCAAAAATGAGAGAAACACATATAATCAACATATATAACTAACAAAGGACTATAGTCTGGGCTAAATAAAGAATTCCTAGAAATAAATAAGAAAAAGCAAGAAACCAAACAGAAAAATCAGCAAAAGTGTTGAACAGAAAATTCATAAAAGAGAATGGACAATAAACAAATAAAAATATGTTCAACCTCATTGGTAATCAGGAAAATTTCATAGCAGCATTGTTCATAATGGCCTCAAACTAAAATAACCCAAAATGTCTATCAACAGTAGAATGGATAAACAAACTGTGATATATTCACACAATGGGAATCCATACACTTGGTCATACCGAGAATGAATAAGCAACAGCCACATATATGAATATGAATGAATCACAAGTCAAAAGAAAATAAACAGCATGATTCCATTTACATAAAGTTCTAAATATAGGAGGAAAAAATTTTAAATTAGCACTTATGGCTGCATGAATGGTAAAAAAATAACGAAAGAAAAAGCTGAAAAGTGAAAGAATGATTATCATTGAATTTGAGACTACGGTTATCATTGGGAGAACAGGAGCACAATCAATGAGAGGGGTACAAACAGTGCTTCTTCAGTATGTGTAAGTATTTTATTTCTTAACCTAGGTGGTAATTACATGGGTATTAAAAATATATTTACATGTTTTACAAGCTTTTCTGTAAGTATAATATATATATCACTAAAAACAGAGACAGAATGCTTAAACTTAACTCTGAGAACTTTAAATGGAAAACTTTAAAAGAGAGAAAGAACCAACCAATCAAGTAGGAAAAAAAGTTAGGAGAGTATGGTGTCCCAGAGCCAAGAGAAAAAAAGAGAGAATAGTAAACTGTCAAATATTAGTGAGAGGCAGAGTAAACTTTCACACAATACACAAAAATGTTTTGTTCTCTGATGAAATGACTTAGGATGTACACATTACTTTGCAATGACTAAGGCTTTATTAATACAATGAAAAAGGATGTTAACATTTTGATATTTTATATTCAGAAACCAAAATTCTTAATTGTATTTTTAATATGTCCTCCCACTATGCAGAATATCGATTTTATCAACAGTATTCAATTACTAGAATAAGTGCAGTTCTGCATTTGACAGCCAAGTTTTGGCAAATGTGAACGACAGTCTCAATTTCTATCACGTGTTATAGAAACAGTATTTACAAAGACCTTTGGCTCTGCAAAATCAGGACACATAAGTAGGGGCTGGTAACAAATATAAGAAACAAAAATTTGGTAAGACCAAAACAGAAACTTTAACAATTTTAACTGAACTTGACTTTTTCAGTTATAAATAACAAGCTGTTACTTTAAAATAAAGTTACGAACTATTTTCTAGAAAATTCTAGACAACCATTAACTAAGGATTCTTTCTTCTTACCCATAAAATGAAGATGGACTAAATGCCACTTTAAGGTATCATTTGGGAAAGAAAAAGGAATCATGAAAGGTAATAAAATTTAATACTTTAAATACAAACCACACTTTTGAGAGCTGTAAAACCAAAAAGTAGCATACATTAACCTAATGATATATTCAATTGGGCCATCCACTGCTTTTTCCTTTACATAAACGTTTATTCAAAAAGTATAACTATATTGAGAACTAGTTTTAAATAAAAAGCTCTTCAAAGCAATATTTGCAAAGACAGTTCAGAAGACCGCATTTTTATTAATGCAAAAATGCAACTTCTCACAAAATTAAGGTAAAGATGGACATTCTGATGTTTAAAAAAACAAAACAAAATAAAACAAATCATCTTCTTTGAATAAATGAAGAACATACCAATTTAGGCCCTTGTTTTAAATATCACTATTTAAAAATGGAAAAGTATTTCTCTCAAGAGCACTTACGCCAATATTCTGTTGGCTATAAACCTACATATTTAAACCAATGTTAATATGTGAAATACTATCGATTTGAAGCAAATGGTTGTATGGCTTAAAGAATGAGTAATATTAATGTTAGAAAATAAATTTGTAACTTTTAAGATATTTGTTTTGCCAACTAATAGAATCTACTAAGATTTAATTAATAGACAGAGTTTGTTCGATGATTCCTGCTTCCCTTTAGAAATCCTGAGATTCTAAGAAGAAAAAGGCTAACTGATATAACATGGATTAATAAATGAAATTTACAGCTTCAGAAAACTTGCTTTGTGACCCAAAACAGAACTACTCACCAAAAGCAGCAGCCATAGGGGGTTCAAGGGATGGATGGCCATCACCAGTAGGAAGGTCTAAGCGAGTGAAGTCTCTGCTTTTGTCATTATTATATTTCACATTAAGGCTGGTGAGCTTGGAGAAGTCAATACGCAGAGTGCAGCATGCATTATAGATATTCTGGCCATCCAGAGCCTAAAGCATGTAAGAAAGGGACTGATGTTTTGCAAGACAACAACACTGACAAATCAAGTAGCCTCTACTTTGACACAGGTATAAAGCAGAGAGCACTAGAATAAAAGCCAAAGACCTTTATTTAATTTTAACTCTGTTACTATGTGCGCCTGAGAGAGAAAAAGAAAATTTCTAACTCTCAGTTTTTTCATCTGAAAAGAAGAATAATCATCCCTATCTTGTCTCTGGTAAGATCGAAGCAAAGAGGAGAAAAGTAAAAGCTTGGAAAACTATTATACATTCCTGTATATTGTACTATTATTTTGTTTTGTCCACAGAAAATGTTTGAAGATATTTTAATTTTACATTTCATCTTAATTCTTTTTAGTATAGTTTATATAAGTTAAGATGAAATAAAGCCTTTGAAAATGGTACTTGTCAGAACAACAATATATGAAATATTATCTACCACTTTTTTCTCTTGTAAATTTATATTTTTAATACTCTGAATAATAAGCTGAGGGAAATATGGAGTCAGTTCTCATAAAAGACAAATGATCTTCACAATAAAAAAAATTTACCGAAAGGATATTCATAGCCACTTATAACTTCCGCAAATGCTCACATTTATAAAAACAGATACCAAAAACCACGACATATAAAAATAAAACAAAAAATATACAAATACACAAAAACCCCTAATTTATAATGGTTATTGATCAGTATGCCATCATAAAGGTACAAAATAATACACGCAGGTAGAGGGTGCAGCATATATAAAGGCTACAGTCCTACGCAGCAGCCAGACACTATGTGGTACACAAAAGTACTACAAACCTTAGTCCCTATCTTTAAAGAAAATTAGAAATAATTCAAATACCGACACAAGACAGAATTTGGGTTAGGGAGAGATCTCAATAGGAAATGGGTCGAATACAACCAAACTAGAATATAACCAAACTTAATGTGAGGTTTTATATCTTGTCAAAAGTCAAGCACTCATATACTTAAAAAAAAAAAGACTATAAATTGACAGCAGCATATTTCCTAAAATTTAATGTCTTCACCAATTCAGAACTCAATAAGATTTAACAGTGAGTATGATTGTAAAAACAGTAAAATCAATCTGTGGCTTATTTAATAGAAGTAAATAAAGGCACAAGGGCAAAGACAATTCTACTTTAGTAGTCAGATTATATCAGCAATACTGTGCTCAATTCCAGACATTAAATATGACAAACAAAAATGAGTCCCAGAGATCTGAGAAATAACAGATGATTTGAAACTATTTCATGTGAAGAAAGAATTTTGGGCTTATTATAAAAAAGAGCATATGAAATATATTTAAAAATGGTAAATTTATAATATGTATATTTAGTACAATTAAAAAAACATGGTAAACTGGAGCAAGGGAGAAGACATAATGGCTTCCTTCGGTATCACTGAAGTGACTGATTAACAATTAAAAAATGAAAAAAGATAATTACCATTTTGGCATATTGTGCATTCAATGGGTCAGCATACTGAAGCAAGGCTTGAAACTGATTATTCTTTGTAAAGGTGATAATTTTCAAGACTGTGCCAAATTTAGAAAATATCTGAAAAAAAGTTTACATTAGGTTAAATCTAAGGAAAAAATTAAGCTAACATACCTTTGTAAATACAACTTGATTCATGATCCCCATTTTCGAATGAAAATAATTTCCTCTATAAAAACTATTGGTTCTAAAATGACTTAAATCAAGCCTAAGATGTTAAAGTTTCAATACCCATGCATGTCTTAAAGCAGTGCCTAACCCAGTAGGCACTCAAATATTAAACTTTTTTTATAACATGTCATAAATGGCATAATACTAAAACAGGAGGCTATAATAGGATTACTTAATGTTGTAAGATAATGGGGTTATAAAGTATATGAATGGAAGTGGAAGAGTCATATGAATCGACTATTTCATCCTGAGAATCAGCATCTACTTCTTGAAATTTTATAGACAGAGAAACTACAAAATGTTTAACAGAGATTTCTCTATTCATTCATCAAATATTCACAGAGCACTGTTCTAAGCACTGGGAAGTCAGCAGTGAACAGAGACAAGAGCCTTTGCCCTTCTGAAGAAAGACAATTAAAAAAAGCAAAAAAAAGAAAAAAGCAAAAAACAAACAAAAAAACAACTATGCTTTCTTGTAAAAAAGTGTTGTGAATTTAAAAAAAAAAAAGGAAAAGGAAAAGAGGTAAGAGTAAACTGGAATGCAAGTTTAGAAGGTGCAACAGTGGTAAAGGAAGGCCTCTCTGAAGTGTCTTTGGTGGAGGGGAATAAACAGAGTGCCAGGAAGGTTTCTTGACAGATTCTTGGTTACCAATACTCTTAATAAATACTTCTACTTCACCACAAGGTTCGCGGCTAGGGTTAGTAAAATGCATTTTGTTTTCCTCTGACATCTCATTTTAAATTTGGATCTTTTTTTTTTTTTTGCCATTAATATGTGTGTGTGTGTGTGTGTGTGTGTATTAAATTTTATTAATTTCAAGTATACAGTACATTGGTTAGACATTTATATAGTATAGTAAATGATCCACATAATTGCTCTTTCTCTCCTCTGGTTTTCTAACTAGTCAATATATTAATGCTAACTGCATTCCCTATGCCATGCTCCCCATCCCTATAACTATCTATCAATTACTAATTTATACATCTTTAACCCTTCCCCCCATTCTCTCAGCTTCCCAACCTCCCATATCCTCTGTTTATCACCAAACTGTCCTCTATAGTTGTGAGTCAGTTTTTGATCAGTTTATTCTTTTTGTTCTTTAGATTCCACATGTAAGTGAAATCATATGGTATTTATCTTTCTCTGACTTATTTCACTCAGCATAATCACCTCTAGGTCCATCTGTGTCATTGTAAATGGCTGATTTTCATTTTCAATGGCTGAGTAATATTCCATTGTATATACGAACCAATGCATTTTGTTTTCCTCTGACATCTCATTTTAAATTTGGATCTTTTTTTTTTTTTTGCCATTAATATGTGTGTGTGTGTGTGTGTGTGTGTGTGTATTAAATTTTATTAATTTCAAGTATACAGTACATTGGTTAGACATTTATATAGTTTATAAAACAATCTCCCTAATTGTTATTTGTCTCCTCTGGCTCTCTGTCCTTCTGCTTCTAAGAATAAAAATATAAGTATTCCCTATGCTGGTAAGAATACTATTATCAAATATTATGTCTGAAAGTCCTTAATAGGCAAATGATCCTGCTTTTTAATAACCAGAAAGAATGATCAAGAATGACTATCCTAAAGCATAGGCAACAAAAGAAAAAAACAAGTAAATTTGACTATATTAAAATTAAGAACTTTTGTTTATCAAAAAACACTACCAACAGTGAAAAGGCAACCTACAAAATGGGAAACAATATTTGCAAATCACATATCTGATAAGAGATTAATATTCTGAATATATAAAGAACTCATATAACTCAATGATACCAAAAACCCAATTTAAAAATGAGCAAAAACTTGAATAGACTTTTCTCCAAAAAAACAGATAATAGCCAATAAGAATATGCAAAGATGCTTAACATCATTAATCATTAAGTGCAAATAAAAACTACAAAATATCACTTCAAACCCATTAGGATAGCTTATTATCAAAACAAACAAACGAAAAACAGAAAATATCAAGTGTTGGGGATTATGTGGAGAAAATGGAGCCCTTGTGCACTACTAGTAGGAATGTAAAATGTTGCAGCTGCTATGAAAAATAAAATTAGCATATGATCCAACAATTCCACTTCTGAGTATATACCTACAAGAATTAAAAGCAAGGACTCAAAGAGATATTTGTACCCCATGTTTATAGCAGCATTATTTAAAATAGTCAAAAAACCCAAGTGTCTATCCAAAGATGAATGGATGAACAAAATGTGGTGTACATATACAAAAGAAAGAAAATTCTGGCGCATGCTATATCGTGGATGTACTTTGAAGAGATTATGTTAAATGAAATAAACAAGTCACAAAAAGACAAATGATACATGATTCTACTTGTATGAGGAACCTAGAGTAGTAGTCAAATTCAGGGAGACAGTAGATGACGGTTGCTAGCGGCTGAGAGAAGAGAATGAGAAGTTACTGTTTAATGGGTACAGGAGTTATAGTTTGGGAAGATGAAAAAATGTCTAGAGATACATGATATTTGGTGGTTACAAAACAATGTAAATGTACTTAATGCTACTAAATTGTACACTTAAAATAGTTAAAATGGTAAGATTCATTTATGTATATTTTACTACTCCCAAAAATTAAAGTATCCTAAAGTCCAAATACTCATTTCTGACACGATATTCTTTAACACATAATTAGAGCCAAACATTTCTTATAGGAAACAATATCATTCTGCAAGATTTGTAGAACCAATTTGTCTTAGAAGAGCTCAGTAGAAAAATCCCATTCCTTAAAATTGACAGCCTGAGAATTCTTTATTGAATTAGAAACTTTTTAAAAACTGTAGTTAATTTCATTATGGTCATGTCAGGGTTTAGAACTTTGGGACCCTAATTCCTCATTTAACTGTGTTTTGAACCGAACAACATTAGGAAACTTTCTGTTTTGTTCTTTTAATGAAAATTGGTCCTGTCGCCAGTATTTTTCTCAGTTATACCCTTTTGTCCCAGATAATATTCTTAAAAATTCATTAAAGAATAACAAATTTACCTTCTCAGCTATCAAAGAATTTGAAATTTATGTTATATCTATCTTTAAGATATAGGTGTAATCATTCTTGAGAAAAGGTCTTAAATTTTCTTAACTTTCATTCTCGGTGATACTGTGGTGTTGCATAAACACACACAAATCAACATATATTATACAACTGAGTGCTTTTTTTCACTCGATAAATGAGTAGCAATTGACTTTTTAAAAAAACATATAAAAGAACATATAATAACTGCCAAATCTCCCTCCTTCACAGATAATGTTCTAAAGTACAAGTCAGATCATATTTTTCCTTATTTAAAATTCCTCGCTTCCTCCCCATTAACTTGCTAAAATTCAAGCTCTTTAGTATGACATATACAGTCTCACCTTGGTGTACCTCTTCAATCTCACCTTCTGACACTTTTTATATCACACTATTTTCATCAACAATATGCAGTTGTCTGTAGTTCTCCAAAAACAGGTGGTTTCAGACTTCTATCCCTATACATGTGGCTTTTCCCTTTACCTGGAACTCTGTGCCTAAAACTTAGTAAATTTTCATTTATCTTTTTCAAAACTCAGTTTAGGGATGGGAGTTAATATCACCAAAAATTTCTCAGCTTTCCCCAAATCTCAATAGTTAGTTCTCTTTCCCAAATATTATCCCTTTCTTCGCCTCATATAAATATTTATCTTGTTGTTTTACTTATACTGTACTATACATTTTACATATCTGTCCCCTTTAATTAAAAAGTTCCTTGAAATTATATGCCTTGTCTTAATAATTTCTACTTCTTGAGTAGGGGTACAGAGTAAATTATTTTTATTAATTAAGAATTATACTGAGACATAATTAAAGAATTATGGTAACATGCGATTTTTAAAAATGATTAAATATTCTTGATATAAAATATCTAATGAAATGAGAACACATAATTTGCTCTAAAATTTAGGATAATTTTATACCAAATTATGCTACAGAACCTAGTTAATTTCCACTTAACCTTCATATTTTGTTAATGTTTAGATTTTTTCTCTGATTTAACTTGAACAACAACCTGGTGGACATCCTTACTGACAGCTGTGTTTGGCTGTGTAACCTTTATCTCAAAGTGCTAAGACAATGTAAACTGACTGAACTGGCTAACCAGGGACAGCTGTCTAGAGTTTTCTGGAAGTAGCTATAAAAATCAATCTGAAACTTTTGAATAAACTATAATGAACACCAACATCAAGGAATCCAGAAATGCCTAAAGTGTGATTTTTAACATTTTTTTCATAATTATCAGAATGCTAAATTTTAAACTGATTTGGTCTCAAAAGATTAACATTCAGGAATTTTTAATATATACAAATTTATTTCTACTGATTATAAGGTCTTTGACTCTATATCCCTATGTAAGTCTTTTGCTGTCATAAACATAAAGACACAGACTCAACTCTTGATGTCTCCTATGCATTATAATCTTTTCAAACTTTAATTTTACCAGACAAAACACATGAAATTCTGATAAAATTAATCTTAAGGGAGATTTTTATAAAAGTAGAACTTGACAGAAACTGAAAATTCAGTAGTAGTCACTTGTAAAAAAACATATTCATATTTCAACTTTTAAAAATATCAAGCACATTGGGCACAACTTATTTATAATAGTTTTTGTAGCCAACTAAACAGTAAGACTTAAGAATCAGAATTTTATATTACTAGTATTGATTCTTTTATTTAATACTATAATAATTGATCTTAACAAGTTATTTATCTTTATTCTGCAATTCAAAAAGATCAGTCCTTTGTCCTGAAAAGATTCATCTACTGGACATTCATAAAATACCCCCATGTACAACAATACTTGCAAGTAATGGATTACATAATACTGCTTTGAACTACTCCTTCAGTGCACAAAGAAATATTTTAGTATGAAAGGCTGAGTTCACATAATGATCAGTCAAAGAATGCCTTCTTTCTCTACAAATATCTCTAGGTGATGCTATCCAATCTGATGGCTTTAAATTGCCACCCATATGCTGATGATTACCAAATCTCCAGCCCAGAATTTCCATGCCAAATTTAGACTTATTTCCTAAATGTCTATTCAGTATTTCCTACTTGGATGTCTAATAGGTATATCAAACTTAACATGTGTCCAAAACACACTGCTGATTCAAATCTTTCTTTCCCCCCAGTTTTTACTATTTTAGTGTAAGATAGTTCTATTTTACCAGAGGTTCACAATCAAAATCCGAAAGACACTCTTGGTTACTCTTCTTCTCTTCAAAACCCACATCTATTCAACTTATCAGCAAATCCTTCCAAATATATCCATAATCACCACTTCCAGTGCCCACGTCCTCACCCATGTCACAACGATATCTCATACAGACTATGACAGAAGTCTTTACTTATGCCCACAGATTATTCTTAACATAGCAACAAGAGTAATTCTGTTAAAACATAAATCTATCATCTCACTCTTCTCAAAATCCTCCAATGGCTTCCCCATCTTACTCAGTGTAAAGATTATAAAAGCTTTACGTCATCTGGCTCCTAACCCCTACTCTGACCCTATCATTTATGGCTTTCCTACTTTTTATACTCCAATGACATACATAGCCTTATTTCTGATATGTGAACACATTAAGCACACTTCTATTTTAAAGACCTTATACTTGCTGTTCTTTCTGATTGGATCATTATGATGCTACAAACATACATAACTTACACTTTAACATCCTTCAAGCTTCTGCTCAAATGTCATCACATTGGAAACACCTCCCTAACTTCCCTTATTTGTAATAGCACCATTCCCATCTCAGTGACTCTCAATCCTCTTACAATGAGCTAAAGAAAAAACATTGGCTCCTATAGATGTTAGAGAGCAGTTTAGCTAATGCCAAATCTTCAACTAAGAGTGTAAAATAATCCTCTAATTAAGAGTGCAAGCAACTCCACACTTGCATGTATTTCCTCATCTCAGTATTCACTGCATTTTATGCTATTACTTATGAAATTATATTTTGCCCACAAGACTACAAAAGCAAGGATCAGTTTCTTACAGTGCAATTTACTAGCATCTGATAATTACAGTTAAAATTTTCTGAACACTTAACTAGGCACTGTTCTAGGCACTTTAAATACATTAAATAATGAATCCTCACAATGAAGGTATAAAATAGAGACCATCTTCATTCAGCCCCATTATATAAATATGTGAAAGACAGAGATGGGGTAAGTTACTTGCCCAGGGTTACAGAGGAAGTAAGTGGTAAACCCAAGATTCAAACCAGCTCCAAATCCTATATCCTTAATCTCTATGATATACTAAACTTTAGTTGGCAAATGGGATAGCATGCCAGAAGGAGAGGGCTTAATTAACGTAATTAGAGAGAAAGACCCTTTGAGGAGGTGAATGATAAGCTAAAAAACAGAATAACGTATAATTCAGCTAAGTGACTATCCGTGAAGAGTATTCTAAGCTTAAGAAATAGAAGACAGAAATGGACTAAGACAGGAATAAGCTGGAGGGAAGAGAGGGTCAAAGGGCCACAAAAGTTAGGGTACTAAATAAGCAGAGTGTTAGAAAATGAGGTTAAAGGAATGGAGAGAAGTCTGCACCTGTGGGCCTTAAGAGCCTTGGTAAGGAGTCTGGTTTGATTCTGACAGCAATGAGAAGGAGCATTAAACCAGGGAGCACTGTAACTGAAAAGCTGAGAGTCCTACCCTGATGGTTACTACTGAGGATTCTCAGAATTACATTTCACCCAAAGGACTCCATGATCTTTTGGGAGAGAAAGAAAGTTTGTTACTGCTCCTAGGGAGACAACAGGATAGGACCAACATGACCCTGACTAAACTCACTTAGTAGTACAGATACAAAGGTTAGGAAAACAGTTAAATAATTCTGGATTGGCCTGGTATTTTTGCTGGCAATACATATTTAAATATAAACATGAAAATGAGAAAATAATATGTTTTAGTGTTTTAATATTTTAATATATATACTGACAAGTATAATGAAATGGAATCAATATGTAGCTAAAGGGAACAAAAACTGAGTTTTTGAGCTAGATGTCAAATGTTTATGTATACAGATTACTAAATAACCGTTATGTTACATTTTGAAGGTATGCAATATGTGGAGTATTAGTTAAAAATATAACAACCATACAAAACAAAACACTGGACTTCACATTAGGAGGTTTGAGCTCTAATTAGCTCTTCAATTACTCTCTCCAATAGTCAATGCATCAATTATCTGAGTTTCAGTTTTATTCACTATAAAGTTACACAACTAGGTGACCTTCCAGTCCTTAAATTCTGTATATTCACAGTAGGTCATGATTTGGTCAGATGCCTTTTATTAAGACAGTAGTCTGTGAAAGCCATGCTGGGCAGCAGTCAGTATTTAACATGATACAACTATGTTACATGTAAAGTTATTGTATACCTTCTTTTCAGAGTTTTTAAAATAAACGTACTCAAATGTAAAAAGGAGTCAATATATTAGTTGTCTTCTATATTGATGTTACTTCCTCGAGAATAACTACTACCAGTGCTTTTCACAGGAGTCTATACTTTATTCATTTTCATGCTTAGTATAAAAGAAAGAATGTCTTACACACCTTTTAAAATCAAGTATTTACATTAGAATAAGAAGACTGTCAAGTATTATCTCTAATTGATACTACTTCTTGCCTCAAACAGGATGAAGATTTTTAAAAAAAATTTAAACAAATCTATCAACGAAAATCAACAACCTACAAAACTAAAGATATAAAACATCTGAAGTTACAAAGGTCACACTTGACTCTGCTTTCCTTCGAGTGTTCCTCCTTACCTGATGAAGAACTTCCAGAGTAACAGGGTAAAAAAGGTTTTCAATGATTATTCGGAGCACAGGGCTCTGCCCAGGTAGGACTGTGCCTTCATTGGTAGGAGCTCCGGGAAGGGCCAGACTTCCCGACTGGACAGCACTGACAGCCTGCAGTGCAGCTTGGGCTCTCTAAACAATAATTCAAAATGAGAACTTTTGGTTACATAGAGCATTATATGAATCCTAAAAATTAGTTAATGTAAAGTGATATGAAGAAATATAGTAAATAAAAATATATATATTTGCTCTCTCTGGATGCACATATCCTAAATTTATAATCAGTCAAGAGTCAGAAGACCTGCTTTCTTATCACAATTACACGATATTTAAGAAAGTTGCTTAAATTTGCCTCAAGAAATGAAAAAAATACATGGCAAAAAAAGAGATGAAAATTTGGATGTGATTTTTATTCATAATTTAAAATACAATAGGAAAAAACAATGTGAAAGTAATGTTAAAGACCACTTAAAAGCCATTTGCGACCCCTCTTCTTTTTCTCCCTCTCAGAACTGAGTACTAAAGCCCTGGGTGATATGTGATAGATGTAAATATAGAGAAGGGGAGGAGCTGTGGTGGTTCAGAGTGGAGTAAGGAGGGCACTCTTATAGGAAGGCATCCTGGCATGGAGCATCAGAGCCTGAGCAATGAAATGAGAACACCCATGTGGGATGCTTGGCAAGGGAAGATTGGTAGGGCTGCCTGGCAAGGGGAACCTGAACCCAAACAAGGTAAGGAAAGTATCTAGAAGTAGGGGTTGCTCACTGCTGGAGAGCAGAACCTAAGGAGCATGAGAAGGGTAAGAAAGTCATCCAGAGGAGAATAACCTGGCCAGGAGTGTCAGAGCCCAGTGAAAATCAGGGGTAGACAGTCAACGTAGTGAGGACAGTCTGAACATGGTGAGCAAGTTTATGAGGGCCCGAATGGGCTAAGGAGATAATTCAGAGGGACAGCCTGGCATGGGATGGCAGATATGTTTCTAAATATCATGAACCACTGAAAGGAACCAGAGTGCTAAAAATATCTAGTTCCAGATCTGGAGCAAAGAAAGTACAAGATGAGTGTAAAACTTTTTGTTTTTATGGGTTTTTGTTATTGTTGTTGTTTTACCAGAATATAAAGAAGTTGTTCAAATAATGATAGGAAGATACCAAAGGGACATAAAAAACAACCTGAAGAGGCTCCCACTGGCCATATATGACAATTTGAAAATCAAAATGATGATGCAATGAGAAAAAAAAGAACGTAACTTCTATAATGTTCTTGTCATATATATACACTGAATCTAACCACAAGGAAACATCAAACAAACTCAAACTGAGGGACATCCTACAAGATAAATTGCCTGTAATTTTCAAAAGTGTCAAGGTCATGACAGCCAAAGAAAAACTGAGTCACTGCTTCAGATGAAAAGAGACTAAGAAGACATAATTTCTAAACAGAACATGTGATTCAAAATAATGTGTTTTGCTGTAACAAACATTAATGGGACAATTGCAAAACTTGAATGTGGACTGAGGATTGGAGGGAAGTAATGTATCAATGTTAATTTCCTGATTTTGAATGCTATGTTTTGGTTGTATAGGACAATGTCCCTGTTTGAAGGAAATGCACACTGAAGGTATTAAGACAATAAAGACAGACCAGATTAGGAATTTATCCCCAAATAAACCAGATTTTTTTTGTATTGTGTCTACAGCTCTTTTCTAATTTTGTGATTTAAAAATTTATAAAATGAAGTAGGTAAAGGAGAAAATTGAAGGGGAAAAAGCATAGTTAATGATTACTGAAATTAAATGCAAGTTCTCGCCAATGTTTTGTTGAATATGTATCGCTGCTTAAGAATGGTGATTAATTAGTAAAATGTTTGTGCCACAAAATAAAAAAATCACTTTAATGTAACGACTTTCATTTTCACATATTGTCTTCACGTGCAATTTTGAAGCTCACAGTACTTTGATTGTTGTTTTAAATTAATTTCTTTTGTTTGTTTTCATGATTTTAATTTTTACTTTACTATTTACTATACCATCACTCTAATGTGAGGTAAGTAGTTTTCCAACATTTTACTATGATAAATAACATTAAAATAAGTATCTTTCTGAAAACTGGTAGTCTTTTTACTTTCTGTATGCTATTTAATAGTTGAATAACTTCCACTTTTATTCTTATATACAATCATGCACTGCATAACAATGCTTAGGTCAGTAAAGAATCACACATGATGATGGTCACATAACGTTATAATTGAGCTAAAAAAAATTCCTATCACCTAGTGACATCTGAAACATAATGTTGTAGCACGTGTACTCACATATTTGTGGTGATGCTGGTGTAAACAAACCTACTGGGTTGCCAGTTGTATAAAAGTACAGCACATGCAATTATGTACAGTACATAATATTTGATAATGATAACAACTGTTCTTTATTTACTATATTTTTATTGTGATTTTAGTGTACTCTACTTATTAAAAAAAGTTTGCTGTAAAATAGTATGCCATGTTATACCAGCAGTAGCCTCATATACCTCGTGTTTACTGCATCTCTTGACTGCATCATTTTCTCTTGTGCTTGATTTAATCTCATGTTCGTTTATAAATTTAGTAGAGCCTAAGTGTACAGTGTTTATAAAGTCTGCAGCAGTGTAATGTCCTTCACAATCACTCACCACGCACTGACTGACTCACCCAGAGCAACTTCCAGTCCTGCAAGCTCCATTTATAAGGGCCCTACACAGGTGTGCCATTTTTTATCTTTTATACAGTATTTTTACTGTACCTTTTCTATGTTTAGATACCTAAATGTTTACCATTGTGTCATAATTTCCTACAGTATTCAATATAGTAACATGCTGTACAGGCTTGTAGCCTAGGAGCAATAGGCTATAGCCTAGTTGTGTGGCAGGCTATACCAGCTAGGTTTGTGTAAGTGCACCTTATGATATGCACACAGTAACGAAATTACCTAACGATGCATTTCTCAGAAAGTATCCATGTTGTTAAAGTGGCATATGACTGTAGAATCCTTTTTCCCCACAGGATTTTCTGATTTTATTTATTTATTTAAGTATACAAGTTGGTACACAATATTATATTAGTTATAGGTTTCAGATGTACAATACAGTGATTCGACATTTTTGTATCTTACAATGTGATCACCCCACTAAGTCTAGTAATCATCTGTCACGGTATAAACTTAACACAATATTATTGACTAGATTCCCCTTCACCTTTTTCATCCATCTCTCTTATTTATACATTTTAACAGCAATTTTTTTGCCATAATCAGATTTTTATGTATCAAGTAATGCACAATTGCCAATATTGTTTCCAAAACATCATCTTTGAGAATATATGAATAATTTGAATATTTTATATCATTGGTTTTCAAAACTATGCTTTTAGTCAAATATATGGAACACTGAACACCACAATCCCACTTCAAATATGGCAGTTTTCCTCATCTATTTACACTGGGCTCCCTAGTAAGCTATTATTGAAAAAAAGAGTTTTACTTTTTTCAAGTTTGAAAACTTATTCAGACATCCACCACTTTGAGCCTATAATGAGGTGAGGGTGGGGTGTGTGTGTGTCAATCAATCAAAAAAGACCCAGAACTGACAGGAGTTAAGTAGTTATAACTGTATCACATGCGTGCGCACATACACACACACACACACGCACACGCACACTCACACAAAGGTAAACAGAGACATGGGAGATAAAAAACAGTGCTAACTGAATTTCCTGTGATGATGGAAATATCTGCTATCTACACTGTCCAATACGATAGACACTAGTACTTGTGGCTAGTGAGCACTTGAAATGTCCCTAGTGCAACTGAGGAACTGAACTTTTTATTTTTTAATTTATTTAAATTTAGCCATATGTAGCTAGCAGCTACCATACTGGACATCAAAGCTCTAAAATGCTTAGGAAAAGACATCATAGTGAGGTTCTAAGTGAAATGGTTCCTTTTCTTCTTAAATAGGGGGTGATTAAATCTAATCAAAATTAAGTCCACACAACTGAAAGTAAATGTAACCTCACTGACTTTACTTCATCATCCCTCCAATAATTTTATCAATCCTTCATATTAAGTAAGTCTACAGATATGCCTGCTGCTGCTAATATTACTGTTATTTATTGTTGTTGCTCCTCTTCATTCCTTCCTCTTTGGCATAAGAGATACCACAGTGGAGAAAAATGAGACGCCATGGTATACATTGTCCTGATGATTCTAGAGTTTTCAATATACTCCTAATATTTCATACAGTACTGAGTACAAAGGTATCTGAGTAGCAGGCATGCAAGTAATTCTTTTGACAACAAAAATCTGAGGAAAATAACACTTGAAAAAAAAGGATAGCTTTATTTTTTTAAGTAACTCCATAGTTACAATGTTTAATTAGGCAAAAACATTTAATTAAAACAATGAAATTGAGGCATACTCTTCACTGAGAACAACGGAAGAGTTGGCGGGGGGGGCTGAGAAATGTCTTCTTAATATGAAGAAATATTTCAAATACTCAGAAGACGTATTTCCTGTAAACCTGATGCTAAAAATTATGACAAAGAATTCCTATTATGGGAGAAAATTTTTAAATGTTTCACTAACAAACTCTCTGGAATGGTTACACTAACTATTAATAAAAGAAACAGCGGTAGTGTGATAAAAAAAAACAACAAATATTTTACTGAGATAGGAATGGGAAATATACTTCATATAAAATTTAAACATGCCTGGAAAATGTTAAGACATTTCTAAAACTGATAAGGAAATGAATACACAATAAAATGCACAGATCTGAAGGGTTCAGTTTGATGACTTTTTAGAGAAATTATTTTAGAAAAAATGCTTCCATGGTCATCTCTTTACAGATTTGTAAACTTCTACTTGCAGTCAAGAAAAATTCTCTACAAAATAATGACTACTATTAACGTAACCATTTCTCAAATGTTGCAACTAAAAATATAATCTAAATTTTTAAACTATAATTTTAGTTTAGGTCAAGGGACAAAAATATTTTATATTAACCTAACCCTCTGGCAAGTATGCCCATAAGCTAGAAAAGAAGTTATGTACATGTTTTAGGACATCTTGCTATTGAGAGAACAAAAGAGAATGAAATAGTAATTTATCAGATTCCCAAAGCTGTCAGAATAAAAGACACCAAGTACATTTTATATATGCAAACAGGTATCTTCAATTTTGAATTCAGTTTTGGTGTACAACTTTGAATAAAAGAAACATTATTAATTTTATGAAACATCAATGCACAAAAGTAACAAAATAAAAAGGATACTGGGAAGAAATCAAGGCTATCGAAGAATAAACTAGGTCATTTGGGCTGGTTTTGGTTGCTAAGCAACTGGGATTTCTCACTGTTTCTCTTTAGAATAATCCAGTCTTTAAGAGTTTCATTAAATTGTTTATTTTTTTCCTTGAGACTTATGCTAACATATTTAAGAATCACACTAATAAGAAAACTGCATGACTTACATAAAGGAAAATTAAAAGCTCTACAGAAAGACAGGAAATGAAATACAACTTCCTCCTCAAAGGAACCAGAGAGCAATATAAATATTTTAATTATCTTCAAAATTAATCTGTAAAACTCCATTGTGCTTTTTGGGGACAGAAGTTATCAAAAGAATTATATTTAAAGAAATAAACAAAATATATTAACCAGTTAATTTCAGAAAAAAGAGAGTAAAGAATGGGGCTGTGCCTTATACTATATTAAGCCATAGGGATATTGAAACAGGAATGGAACAGAATGGAATGCAAAAGGTAGTTCAAAATTAGACATGGAGTGCATACCATGTGAGCAGCTCACACATAAGGGTAGATCGGGGCCATGCAAACAAAACATGTAGGCATGTCTAACAAGTGTACATATGCATGCTGTAAGTAAGCATAGCATATGTATGGAAAACTAGAACATGACAGAGGACATGTTTCACATGAGTGGTTATTAAATGGGTCACGCAAAATATAACAAAGGGGAAACTGGTCTTTGAGAGTAAAAGATCAAATCCCTACCCTTACTCCCCACCCCCAAAAATATTCCTAATGAAACAAAGATTTACACATTATAATAAGAACAACTAAAACAAAAGTAGGAGAACACAGGTTAAAAAAAAAAATTTTTTTAATCTTGCTAAGCTACATCTTTATGAGTATGGTATTGAAACCAGAAACTATAATACAATCTTAAGAGATCTGACTATTGTATGAAAATATTTTAAAATCTGCATTAGCAGACAAAACTCCTAAGAGATAGAAAGTAGAATGGCAGTTGCCAGGGGCTGGTGAGAGAGGGAATTGGGGAGTTGGTGTTTACTGGGTACAGTTTCAGTTTGGGAAGATGAGAAAGTTCTGGAGATGGATGGTGGTGATGGGCTGCACAATGTCAATGTACTTAATGCCACTAAACTGTACACTTAAAAATGGTTAAAATAGTAAATTTTATGTTATCTATATTTTACCACAATTTAAAAAGTAGGGAAAAACCGCATTAATAGAAATCACTCTACACATTTTATAAGTTATCAAATAAAAATAAGTAAACAACAAGATATAATTTTTCACCCATACATTATCAGTGGCACTCTAAGTGGGCACATATACTTTATAGAAAGCAATCATGAAACATATATCAAAATATAAAATATGCAAATGCTTAGTCTCAACAATTTCACTGCCGGAAATGTAAACTAATAAGATAATGTTGCAACTGTGCTGATATATAAGAATGTTGCTACAGTAGTACTTGTAAAAGCACAAAATTGCAAATAATCTCAATGTCTATTATCAAGAAACTGAGTAAGTTATGACTTTCCTATAGAAGTCGTTCTCATGAAACAATATCTATGACATATTACAGTGAAAAATAACAGCTTTCAAAACATTATAGTTCCATTGGTGTAAAATTATATACATAAACAATGTATCTGAACAGAGAAGGGACATACACCAAAAATGTTAGCAAAATGTTAGTTAATTAGTTATCTTTGGGTAACTGGACTGCTTTTTCATTTTGTTACCTTTCTGGATTGTTTGAATGTTTTACCATGAGCATGTATCCTATATATACTTTACAAGATAATTTTTCATTTTAAACTGTCTATATTTTAAAATGTTTCATTTATTCTTGTGTATATAGTTTATTCTATGACATTAATATCTCTTAAAACAAGGATTATTTATAGTAAATCACTGTTTTTAAAAATGTGAAAAACTATAATTTAAATTCAGCAGGTTGCATTATAAATAACTTTCAACACAGAATCAAAGAGCTGGAGTTCTTCTGCCTAGAGAAAGAGTAGAGGGGCCAAACCTGCTCTTAACATATTAAAAAACCTCTTTCTTAAAATGTACTTGTTTTGTGGATAAATTTTTTCTGCTCTTAAGTAACTTCACATTACTATTTTAACTACTTAAAAATCAACCTGGAGAGGCACAACCGATTCAACATGAACTGTAACAAAATAAAAACTGGAAAATAAGGTAAGAAATGTTGATATTCTATATTCCACATTGATCTTGAAGAGTCATAAATCGTTTAATAAATGTATCTACACAAATTATTAACATCTTAAGTTTAGTTATTTAACATCACAATAGGAATATCACTCAACTTCTTAATACCTTTGTTATATATTCTGTAAAAAGAAAAGATTGACTTCTAAAGTTCCTTTTAGATCTGAGATTTTATGCGACATATAACAATGTAATTTATTTTTGCTCATAAAAAGTTTCAAGGTAAAACTAAACATCTACCATTTTTAACATCATAACTTCAAACTTCAAACATATTTCTAAATGGCTCTACTTTCTTATGTTTAAGGCTTCCAATAAGAATTTACATATACAATCTTTACTAATAAAGCATCTTAAGATGAAGAAAAACATTTTTTTCTCTGAAAAACAAAAAAAATCAATTTTAAGTTATTACACCATGTGTTCTTATAACTATTTTTACATGTGCCTTTAATACTTACAGCTTGATTAGGTAGATTGTCAGTCTTAAGTTCTCTGTGATTGGAATACTGAATAAAAATAGGCTGGCTTCGAAGGTGTGGAGTAACAGGAGTGTAATAATTCACCATAGTAACAGCAGCTTCCTCAGAAGCCATTTCTAAGAAAGCCTGCAATAAACACAAGAAGGTAAAGTGAAAACTCATATTTTTGAAAGACAGCTAAGAACTATTTTGTCATTCTAGCTTGCTCTAAACTCATACATTCTCAACAGAAATAATATTGCCCCCAAGGGGATAAAAGAATTTTGCTTCGACATAAATCATTGATACTAATTGGAAACGTACTTGAAAAGTTGGTTTCAGTAAAGAATTTGAGACTGGGAAATTGCCAGTTGATTAAGTGATTTTATGTGGGTTTTTTTCCCTCTCTTATTTATGTTTCTCTTAAATCTAGAAATAATTAAAAGGCAAAAATAAATGTACATAGATGCTTTCAGGTTACTGGAATTTAATAGTTCCTAAAAATTTTCAAACAAAGATGGTGTATAATGATTTGCTCTTCTTTAACTTTTTATAAAACAGCTGTTTAAGAATGCAATTAAATAGAGCATTCAGGTTAAGAGGGTCAACTGTTCAAAGTAGGGAAATGGGAGAACTTCCTATGTCAAGTCAATACTGATTGGAGTAATTCAAGTAATAATTTTTTGATATCTGTAATCATTGCACTAATATTAGATATTTGAAGAGTAACATAGGACGAGCTAAAATGGAAGGAGCATCTTGGTATTTATGTCTTATTCTATATATGGCTTCTTCCAACTGTCAGGATTTCTGTAGCTTCTGTGACAGGAACAGGATAGGATACTTACAGAGGTTTAAAGTGGCAGGTTTTGCCATCTATCTTAATGGTTAGTTAGGAAGACAGAACATACACTAACTGCTCTGAGTCCTTAGAAATATCTATAAGAACATCTCAAATTTAAAATGCAAAATAATCTCTGATCTAAATCAACACAAATTTTTTGTCAGACAAGTCAATTCTTTTTTACTATAATAGAGTATTTAGTTAGCAAGCAGGTAATAACCAATTCAAATTATGTATAAAACATTTACAATTTATCAAATATGTATTTAACAACAAAATTTACTGAACACAGGGAATAGCAAGTATTTATAAATCAAACTCTTTCTTATAATACCTTACTTGGCAAGTATTTCTATTTGGCAAATATTCTAAGCAAAGAAATATTAACTTGACAAATGTTAAATAAGGTGCTTAACTGAATCAATCAAATGTCACAAGTGATTCAATTAAATGAACTAACAATATTCTATGAAGTAGTGATGTTAGCCAGATGACAGTGGACCAAATATCATTAATTAACTGATTCACAGTAAACGAACTTCCACTATCTTCAAGGAACAAAACAGACTTCCAGGTACCAGAAGAAAGGGGGAATTGGGGAGGTAGTTAGGAGTAAAAGGAGTCAAATATATGGTGACGGAAGGAAATCTAACTTTGGGTGGTGAACACACAATGCAATATATACACGAAATGCTGTTGAATTGTACACTTGAAACTTATTTGATTTTATTAATCAATGTCACTCCAATAATTTTTAATAAAAAAAAAGACTTCAAGTCATTTATACTATCTAAAAGGTATAAATGTCCTCGACACACTTTAAATCCACTCTATCCAACTATATCAGTAATATACTTTTTCTAATTTTTCTAAGAAAGGATAAAAATGATCAAGGTATGAATTAGCCATGGCATATTTCCTATCATGTTTTTAATAATCTTTTCAACAAAAAATGTGTAAACTGTATTTTAATACTATTTATGGGAGAGGGTATCTTTCCACAAACCCCTTACTACATGTTAAGAACTAACTCAATGTTTAATATTAGTCATACAAAAGAAAAGCTAAACAATATCTTTAGAATACTATATGATTCTTGTCATACGAAGTTTTTCCTGAAAGTATATACAACCTAAAAAATCATATGTAAAACTAATTTTTCTACATGGAGTCTGGTAAAAGAATTATTTATGTTTTTCCAAAGTATCCAGTCAAAAGGATCAATTTTATAATGTGGGTGGGAAGAAAATAAAAAGTCATTACCCACAGAAAGACTGGTGAAAATAATTCCACTGTGCCCTCAACTCTACCTCCAAATACAATGAGAAAGATTACACCCAAATGTGGTTCTAGTGACTCATATCAGAATCTCTTGCTGAAGTATATTACTAAGAAGGTATTTTCAAACAGAATTTATGATCAAAAGGTAAGCAACTAACACAATAGTCAATCAGCACTACTGATAAACACAAACCCAGAACCAATAGTAGAGACAAAGGAAATGATAACATCGCCTGCTGCCTCTCACAGCCATTTGACATAATGTATGGGCTTAACTACTGAAACATGGTAATACAGATGATAGATGGTTGTTAGACATCTCACAACCATTAGACGTGGCCATGTTGACTCTTTTCAAACCATGCAAACCATATCATTCTCAATAGTGGCAAATACACTACCTTCAAAATGTGTAAGATAAATTTGTACACACAACAAGGGCTGAAACGTTATTTAACTTCTATAGATCTTAATAACTTCATCTGAGTTAAACAGGGATGTTAGTGTACTAAAGATAGGGGACTGAATCAGACATCATCATACAATCTCTAGTGAGTCTAATACTAATCAATCAATTTATTTATAAACATATTTATAATGTGTTTCTTAAACTTAGTACTATGAAAAGTGTAAGAAACAGAGACTTATCACAATGTACTACACAATGTCTAGGGCCTAGATTTGTTATCCTCTTCTTTTCAGCAATGCCCAGTGTAAAAGATTTTCAGGACAACCAAAAACTAGGAAAGAACTAAAAAACTGCATCCCAATGGGGTCTGAGTTGCAACAAGAAAGCATTTCATTATTCATATCAACATGACAAGCACTGTAATTTGTCATGATTACCACAAAAGCAAGTTTCTTTACTCATTTTAAGAAAAAAAAAGAAAACTATTAACTTTTGAAATAAAAAATCTCTTACAGTCTCTCGAATGATTACAGAAGATACATATTAATTCTACAACTAAAATATACTAAACATTTCTATATAGATTTTGGAAAACTTAAACAGCCTTAAAAAATGTATTTTTTAAGAAAGGAAAAGACAAGTCAATGAATAGAGATAATCCTGTTTCTTGTGTTAATATTATTTTTTGTTGCTTCCTGTCATACAAAAAAATTTTAATTTAAAAACTACTTCATGTAAATAGAATGAAATTTAGAAAATATAGAAAAGTTTAAAAAATAAAAATCATCTTTAACATTAATAGAGATAATCACTATGGGTCAATCTTTAAACATTACATACCTGGCTTTTTCCTTTCAACATCAAAAGATTAGTTACTTTGCCAAATGGTAGACCTAAAGATATGACCTCTGCTTCGGTGACATCACTTGGAATTTTGCGAAGATGGAGAACACGAGAAGGCGAACAGGGAGGTCTATCTCCTTTAAATTTCTTGTTGTCATTCCCATTAGCTAAAAAATATAAGATTTTTAAAAAATTACTGAAACTAATTTGGGTTGACATACATTAACCATACTGTCATATTTGATCCTCTGAGAGTTTCAGGTTTGAAATTTAGGGGATTATGGAATTGGTGGGGGGAGAGGAGAGAAAGACTGTGGAAAACGAAACCATCCATCTTTCAATGAATAAGTTTTGGGATTTTTCACAACAGGCATTAAATTTTTTAAAAATTTAAGTCTGCTGTTTAACTTCAAGGAAAGTACTGGGTAAATTAATTACATATTTAGAGGTAACAAATATCTCTAAATAGTCAACTATTTGTTGTAAATAGAGAACATTTATGTCTTCAATGTATTTTTATTTTAAAGATATTTTTCTAATTTGATCTATTGCTAAATAAGAACAATAATGTTTATGGAAGACTAGAACAGAAATCTTATATTTATCACATCCTAAGGGAATTTGGATTTGAGCTATATGTTTATGAAAATTAAGTTTATTTCTTTGGGGTTATATATTTTTTACTAATCTATTTTTTAAAGTTATTTTTTAGAAGCTAAATTGTAGTTTCCCAGGGATAATCTTATTCTTTATTATATAAGAGTTCTTAACATAAGCATGATGGCCTTGTTGGAAATGCAAATTTTCAGCCCCACCCCAGATATAATGAATCAGAAACTAGGGGTGGGAACCAGCAAACTGTGTTTTAACAAGTCCTCCAAGTGATTCTGACGCAACCTAAAGTTTGAGAACTACTGCTATAAAATAAAGAAGTCCATTATCCCAGTTTACAGCTAAGTTATATTTAAGTCCTATTGTTTGAACACTGACAATAATTAGAACTGACAAGCCTGTAATACTCAAATTTATGTACGTAAGAAATGTTTTTACCCAGAAATACCACCATGTAAAACTGAATGCAAATTATCTGAAAGCCAAGTTTCATTACAGTGTTTTTATTTTAATAATAAATATGCTAGTTAGCACTAGTAAAAGGAAAATATAAAATCTCCAAATGCCTAAATTTAACATTTTTCCAAACACTAATGGAAATTTTCATTCAAATGTCTGTGATCCAAAGTAAACAAATTTCATGAGGATCACATAAAAATTATATGGTAATATTTTATAATTACATCTGTGACATGGAACTCAACTTGTTTACACGTTAATAGGTTGACTTAATACAGAAACCAGCACTTTCTCCCAAATTTTTATGTTCTTGAATGCAGGCAGCATCCTACCCAGACCCAAAAGACTATCAATTCTTAGAGGTCTTCACAGCTCTGTGCCTATATACAGCAAATGCTTACTCTAGACTGTGGAAAATAACAGGCAGTAAAATACATCCAGGATAATTCCATCATCCCTACAAGTTCCCAAGTGTACCTTCATAGTCAGTTCTGCTTCCAAATCCCCAGCTCCTCAATTAAGCCATATGGTGCCACTACCATACTGTCTTGATTATTACAGCTTTATAGCAATTCTTGAAATTGGGTACTTATCTGAGAAGAATTCACATCTTAATAATTTTGAGTCCTCCAAACCATATATATGTCATGATATCTCCCTGCATTTATTTATGCCTTCTTTAATTTTTCCCAGCAACATTCTATGGTTTTCAGTGTAATGGTCATGCATATATTTTGATATATTTATCTCTACATACTTCACAATTTTTAATGGACTTGTAAATAACACTTAAAAATTTTTTGTTTCAGTTAATCATTGATCATATACAAAAATACAATGATTTTGGTAAGCTGACCTTGTATCTTGCAACCTTGCTAAATTCTTTAGAATTTCCTGCTTTCCAATCTGTATGACTTCTACTTCTTATTCTAGCTTTGTTGAACTGGCTAAGACTTCCTGTACAAAGCTGAATAGAAATAATGAGATTGGACAACCTTGCATCGTTCCTGATTTGAGAGGGAAAGTACTACCTTACATGTATCACTAGGTATAATGTTTGTTGTAGCTTCATACTTTTCTCAAGTTGAAAAAGTTCCCTTCTACTTCTAGATGGCTGCAAGTCTTGTTTATCATGAATGGGAACTGAAGTTTTTCGGTGCCTTCTCCAGATATATTAAGATGATCATAAAGTTTTTCTTTTATTTTGTTAATAAAGTATATTACACTAATTTTCAAAAGTAAAACCACTTTGTATTCTTGGAATAAACCTTACTTGGTTATGATATATTATTTCTCCTTTCTCTTCATATATATAAATATATATGTAAATCATATATATGCTTTAATATCACTGAATATTTTCATGTCCATATTCATGAAGGATATTAATCGGTAATTTTTTTCTTTCTGCATCAGGGTAATATTAACCTAAAATAAGGAATTGGAAAGTGTTCTCTTCTATATTCTGAAAGAATCTGTGTAACATTAGTATTATTTCTTCCTTAAATGTTTGATAGAATTCACAAATAAAGACACTAGGCCTGGACTTTTTAATTATCAATTTTATTTTTAAAATAAATATAGGGCTATTTAGGTTTTCTATTCCTTTTGTACCAGTTTTAGTAATCTGTGTTTTTCACAGAATTTGTACACTTCATCTAAATTGTCAAATTATTCATAAAAGCTGTTCATAAGCAATAAAAATTTACTTTCTCACAGTTTTGAAGACTGTAAGTCCAAAATCAGGTGCCAGCATGGTTACTTTCTAGTGAAAACTTTTGCTGGCTTATAGACAACCACCTTTTTCACAGTATCCTTAAATAGTGGGGATGGAGAGGAAAGCAAGCTCTCTGGTAGCTCTTCTTATTAAGAACACCTTCTTATGAAGGCCCCATCCCACAGGTCCCATCTTCAAATACCATCACTTTAGATGTTAGGGCTTAAACATGTGAATTCCGATAGTACACAAACATTCAGTCCATAACATTATCCTTTAATGTTTATAGGATCATTCTTGATATTGGTAATTTCTGTCTTCTCTCTTTATTTTTCATTAATCTTATTGACCTACAGTCATGTGCCACTTAACGACAGTAATACATTCTGAGAAATGAGTCATTAGGCAATTTCGTTTGTGTACAAACATCATAGAATGTACAAACACAAACCTAGATGATATAGCATACTACTGTAACAGAAATCTAGATGATACAGCATACTACTATAACTGTATGTGCTAAACTGTTATATGTCTGGCAGCACAGTAGGTTTACCATCAGGATCACCACAAACATGAGTAACAAACTACATGACAAAGTCACTAAGTAATAGGAATTTTTTTAATCTCCATTATAATCTTATCGGACCACTGTCATGTAATGCAGTTTGTTGTCAACAGAAACATCATTATGCAGCACATGACTATATTAAAAAAACAAAAACAAAAAACAGCTACTGACATCATTAATTTTTCTCTACTGCTTTTCTATGTCATTAACTTTTGGTCTCACATTTAATATTTTCCTTCTATTTACTTGGGGTTTAACTTGCTCTTATGCTATGCTTAGAAGTTTAGGTGATTAATTTTAGAACTTTTTTCTTTTCAAACATGAACATTTAAAGCTGTAAATATCCTTCTAAGAACAGCTCTCAATGAACCCTTCAAATTTTAATATGCTATGTTTTCATTTTCATTCACTTCAACATGTTTTCTAATTTGCCTTGTCATTTCTTATTTAATCCATGGGTTAAGTGTTACTTTATTTCCTAAAGAACTGGAGATTTTTTCCTAAATATTTCAGGATCAAGCTTTTATGATTTCTAATGTAATTCTAATGAAGTGACAGAACTGTACATAATTTTAATGCATTCATATTTATTGAGACATGCTTTAAAATCCAACATATATCCTGTCTTGGTGACTATTTAATATCTTGCTGAATATTTTCATGTGAACTTGAAAAGAATGTGAATTCTGATGGTGTTGGGGAGACAGTTCCATATGTCAATTAGGTCGGGCTGGTTGATACTGCTGGAAACTTCTTTATTAGAGGATCTACTAACCTTTTCTTAAAGGGCCGTGTAAATATTTTAAACTCTGTGGGCCATACAATTTCGTTCACAACTATTCATCTCTGCAGTTGTAGCATGAAAGTAGCTATTGGTAATGCATAAACGAAGAAGTGTGACTGTGTTCAAATCAAATTTTATGTATGGAAATGGAAATTTGAATTTCATATAAGTTTCACATATCGCAAAATTTTGTTTTCTTTTTCACCATTTAAAAATGTAAAAATAAGTCTCAGTCTCAACTCATAAGCAATAAAAAAATGGGCAATGAAATAGATTTGGCCCACAGGCCAGTTTGCCAACACCTGTTCTGTATCCTTACTGATTTTCTATGCTATCAATTAATGAGAGAGGAGTCTTGAAATCTCCAGCTAGGATTGTGGATTTGTCTATTTCTGTTTAGTTCTATTAGTTTTTACATTATATATTGTGAAGCTCTGTAATTACATGAACATATATTTAAGATATACATATTTATCGAGAAATGTAAAACAGAATGCAAAATGATAAAATAATTAAAAGGGAATGCAAAGAAATAGTCAAAAGAAAGCCAAGAAACAAAGGAAAAAAGGAACAAACAGTAAATGGGAAAAAAAAGAAAACAAACAGCAAGATGACAGACTTAAACACAACCATGTCGATAATATCATTAAGTGGAAATGGCATAAAGTTGCCAATAAAAACACAGAGATTATCAGTTTGGATAAAAGTGAGACTCTATTACATTATGTGAATAAAAATACTATTTTAAATATAAAATCTCAGGTTAAAAATAAAAGGATGGAAAAGATAAATATGTCACCACTAATCATAAAACAACTGGAGTGGCTATAGTAACATCAGACAAAGTAGACTTCAGGAAAAGGGACAGAGCCATTTCATAATAATAAAGGGGTCCATTTATCAAGAAAACATAATGTCACCTATAAAAGGCACATATGACACATAAAAGGCAGATGAACTCTGTTTTTAAATTGGAATCTTTATATTCTTTACTTTTTTGCTTAAAGTGACTGCCCTGGAGCTA